AATTTTTTTCATAGCATCAATTTCTCTGATTGTTAAAGAATATTAAGGCTGCTTTACCCAAATTATTTTTAAAGTGTAGAAATTCTCGAATCTGCGGCATCGCAACTCTTTAAACTATTCGAATTAGGTCAGTTTTTCAAAAAATAAGATATACGACTACGACTGATCGTGTATTTCTCAAATTAAAAATGAATCATGTTCGATTAAGATCTTATGATGAGTAGATCTAATCCAGATTCCCTTTCTTAACATACAGTGAAAATCCAAATTATTTTTAATGATAATCATGGGAAATTTTCTTTCAGAAAAGGGTCAGCGAATCTGTAGGATGAGCGTTACTTGTAATATTTCATTTGTAATTTTGATTGCTAAATCTTTTGCGCAATCATCTTTATCTTTACAAGCAATATCAACATAATGTGTAAAAGAAATTGTTGTTGAATCCATTACTTGTAATTTACCACGGCGTTGATTATTTGAATTATAAATTGTACTTGCTGAAAAACTTGTCAATTGAAACATATTTTGTCCTGCACCGAATGTAAAAGCAAGATTTGCTGCACATGTACCGGCTGAAACAGTTTGATTACATGCTTCAGGATAAATAAATAATGTAGAACTATTATATGAAAATAAACAGTCTGTAGTGCATCGAAGTGCATTATAAGACAAAAATGATAGAAGAGAAAGAATAATGTATGTTAAATAAAGTGACATACTGGAAAATGAAATAGTGTCGTATGACTGTTAGATATATATTACATTTTTTTTCTCTTTTATTTTATACAATTATTTATTTTGGTGATAAGAGAACCATAGCAATATTGTGTTTTTCTTCGTCTGAATCATAGATACTGAAAATATATGATGTCATATTGACCGAGAAAAAAACTTGAAAGAATGAAAGTATTCAGATTTCATGTTGATAAATATCTATATTCTCTTTCTCGTAGAGAAGAGTCTAGCAGAGGTAAATTGTTTGCTTTCTTGCTTGCTTGTATGTCCACACTTCGCGGATTGGTTCAAAAATTAGCTAATAACACAAAAGGAATCTTTTCCTATAAGAGTTTACCGAAGGGTTATCGGGATCGTGGAACTCAAATCTAAAGTCGGTTTTCTGATATTGCTTGATTGAATAATTTACTGGTAGTGAAGACACACCGTTTCTACGAGAAAGAGCTGAGCAAGTTGTGCCAAAAGAATAGAACGACATCCTTTCCAATATCCCCCCCCCCCGCTTTACCACATTTATCTTTCTCTTGCTTTGCGTATTACATATAGTCAGTCTCAACACAAACACTTCGGATGCAGGTTGGACTCAACGTGGTGATACAATTATTTTGAATTGTATTGGAAGACTCGAAGATGGAATAGAATCTAGAACCTTAAGCTCAGTAAAGTAGCAATAAGGATCATTTTTATTATTTTATTATTATTCTATTGTTGTTGTTATATTCTACTTTTATTTAATCAATAAAAGATATTTATTCATTATTGATATACATTCATTACATTTTCCGTTACACAAGTCTCTAGACCAGCGTTACTTGTTTAGTATTTATTAATATTAATTGCATAAAACAAACTATGAAATTTCTCTATATAATATTTCATAAGATCGTATATAGTTTGAATTAAGGATGTGGGTGTCGGTATAAGATTGATCTGATCAGGCATACTCACACCCGCCCATCTTCAAGATGGTAATTGCGCTGATGCATTCGCTTGGTTGCAATCAATAGCTGGTCAAATTTTCACCCATGGTGCTCATCAATTGATTTTTGTCATTCGTACCAGTGATCTTCATCGAGTGGGAGCTTTTCAAACTGTACAAAGAATTGATCACACAATTTCAACAGTCAGGAATTTATATCCTGGGATCAACTTTGTTTGGCAGCTTCTCCAACAACGTACTCGAAAGACTTCGCTTCTGCTCGAAGAGCTTGCAGTTTTAGAAGAGATCGAAAAATGTAATATACTTCTACTTGACTTAGCGACCAAAAAGAAGTTCGGCACTATTCAGCCAGCAATACCTATTAGGTATATGTATGATGGTTTACATCCATCGAAATATGGAGTTGAAATGATGGAACACGCAATTCGCACGCATCTATACAAATACAATATGATTTACTCATCGTCATCTTTAAATAATCATCATCATCTTCACCACAATACATTTCCGGTACGTTTAATGTCAGTAAATTTCTAATAATATTCGATACTAAAAATTAATTAAAATATCGTTCAACAATAAATATTATTGAACAATAGATATAATTCAACGATGAATATCAATAAATAATAAATATCATTCTAAGATAAATGTAATCAAAAGATACATATAACTCAATGTGAATTATTGATCAAAAATAGATGTAACTCAATGAATATTCTTTACAAAAATTAGATTTAATTTAATGAAAATTGTTTATAAGACGTAGATATAACTGAACAAGAATTATTTATAAAAATTTGATATGCTTCGATGAGAATTTTCAATAAAAAATAGATATAGTTCAATTAGAAACATCAATAAATAATAGATATAATTCAATGAGAAATTTCAATAAAAAATGAATATAATTCAATGAAAAATACTAATAAATAATATACATAGTTTAATGAGAAATATCAGTAAATAATAAATATATTTTTTATTCAAAATTCTCATTGAATTTTACCAATAAAAAATAGATATAATTCGATGAGAAATTTCAATAAAAATAGATATAGTTCAGTGAGAAATTTCAATGAACGATAAATATCAGTCACACATTAATATCATTGAACATAATTTCGGAGCAATAAATTGGTTAATTCTGTTCTGATAATGATAAAAAGAACTAAAAAAACTAAAAAAAGGAAAAACAGAACACCATGACATATATCGAATATATAAAGAGAAATGAAAGATAGAGTATCGTTGAGCTTCTAATAGACGTTGTCGTTCGTCGGTTAAATCATATAATGTTCTACAGGGAGTACAAATAGTATAAAGAAGTATAGTAATATTAGAAAACGAAGAGAAATAGTCCGTTTACTTCGCCTGATGATCGATCATCGAAAGAAGTAATAGAAAATAGATGATAAAGAAATTATCTGGAATCACATTACTCGGGAGCAACTTCTATCTGTTGTTAAGAAGTTAGGGCCTGATAAGAAGAAACTTAATAAGGAAACATGGTATTTGAATGATTTCACGTGTTCTGCTGAATCTGCTTTTGGCTGTTTACTCTGAAAATTTTATTTAAATCAGACAGTAAGTATACGTTACTCTTTATATAATTTCTGGCGACAAAATCGTCAAAAATTTACAAATGATCCATTTGAAAATCCAATAAATTCTGTCGAAAAAGATAGTAAATTAGAAAGAAAAGAGTGAAGTTGAGTGCGTTTTATTAAAATCCAAAATAAAACCGCTAACGTATAACACATCTATTCCATATCCAAGAACTCGTGGCGCACGTCAGCATCAGCCAAATCTATCGGAAATAATTGAGGCATCATTTAAACTGAGCTCAAAACAATGGAAAGAACTTTATGATAACAGTACACATGAAATGAAACTGGTTTATACAAATATGATTTATACTACAGTGTGCTCATGCAACTTCCATCGTTATCTCGTTTTTTTCGCTCCATAGCCATATGTAAGTCTCCTTCTTGTAAGCAAATATTTGAAATTTTTATTAGAGATGAACCAATTCTGAAAGAGGGCGTCGTCTGCCGAATACGAGCTGTTGGAGATGAAAATCATAGTGTGGATGACAAGGCATTTGCACGAAAGTTATCTGGGATGGATGGAATGGATGTGAGAATAGCAGCTGATGCAATCGGCTATTTAAAAGTCTTTCAATAAAAGACTAGAAATGCGAATGAAGAGATGTTAAATGCTCGCAATTTTACAGGATACGAATCTATAGAAGTTATAAAACATGTAGCAGCAGATTATCGAAATTTTTTTCAACTAGATGAAGACATTTTCCATGATTCCCACGTCAGACAACAACTGCTTGAAGACGTGGATGTTATTTCTACCAAGATAAAAGGTTATGTGCAAGTTATGGGTGCGGAACCATTTCATTTACATGTCACTACATAAGCAAAGGGTTTAAGATTAATCACCTATTGTGCATAGAGTGGCGATTCACATATATATATCGACGCAACTGGATCGATCGTGAAAAATCTGCCTCATCAAAAGCGAATATCATGCCAACATATATTCTTCATTATCAACTGATGTAAGTAGATAGTTACTATAATGAGTCAGTAAATAATCTTATAACTAGCATGGTCTAGATAGAGAATAGATAAAAAATGTTGTTTTACGAATAGGAAAAGAATTATGTCCATTTTTATTTATTTTCTCTCTTCCTCTCTCTCTCTTTTACTCTAGATAAATGAAATATTGACCGATCACTGAACAGCGAGAAGGGAAAAAAATCTTTATCTTCAATCGAGTTTCGCTTGGTGCTAGGCAGTCGTTTTGCTCGTTCTACTTGTCAGATGAAGAAAAATATTTTTCTATCATTTTGGTTTCTTGTGACCTTGCTTTCTCATCCTCATCCATCATATCAGAAAAAAAGAAAAGAGTTGTCAGCTTCATTTTTCCAACTACTATGTATGACTTTCAAAATTACAATACTAGATTGAAGGTATTTAAGCTTTCTTTCAATTAAAATCTTCTTTTTGTATTTGCTTATCTTTCTAGCGTCCAATGAAAGTTGGAAGCCCGTGAACACAACAACAACTGATGACCGTTCAACAAGCAATGAATGTAATCCGAGAAACGGTGACTCACGATCCCCGCATTAATTTCAGTTAAGGAGCTTGAAAAACTAGTGGCTCTATATAATAATACTGGTAAAGACGACTCATCGGTACCATGAAATCTCCGGAATACTACGGAACCGGTCGTTTCCTTGCCGGATTGTTCGACCTGGATGAAAAGCTGATGGCCCTGCATAATGATGCTGATAAACAAAATTAAGCAGCACCAAAGAACAATTGTGACACACGCTCAATGACCCGTTGTACTTCACCTCATCGAAACTGTTTTTCATCGTCGTTGTTGTGATATTTTTTGTATTTGTTAAAAATAAAGAGTAACATCAAGTATATCTCGATTAAGAAAAATGGGTCTTTTTTATTTTAAATATCTTATTTTTCTTTCATTTATTAGCCTCACTACTGAGATATTTTTTTTGAAAGGTTAATATTGGATATATATGTAAGGATATGATTTAAACAAACAAAAAAAAAAGTAAAATAAAGAGTATTGAATTTATAGATTTTTTTGATGTAAAATCTCTTTAAATATATATTATTGTTTAAATATACATAAATAGATAGATAGAAAGTGAGGAAGAGAGCTAGATCTTCTTTGATCATATTGAATTTTGTCATAAATATTAACTAATCTTTATTATTGAATTATTTTATTTGAATAAATGAAAATAAATAAAAATATATCTCAGTTGGCTGTGGGTATAGGATTGATCTGATCAAGCACACCCACACCCTCAAATCATCTAATTCAACTTCAGGAAAACTTTGTCAATTATTTTTGTCTTTAACTAATAATAAAGATCATTTATTAGATCAAGAAATCTTTAATAATCTTATTCTCTTTCTCGTAGAGAAGAGTCCAGTAATCATAAATTGTTTGTTTGCTTGATTGATTGTGTGTCCGCAGGGTCAAAAAAACATCGAAAACCAATTTTTAGAAAAACACATCTCTAGAGATTTTTCGATGCGAGGAGTTCGAATCTGAGGTCAGTTGGGTGACCACTGTTAGGGATGAGTGGGTGTGGGCGGAAGGTCAAAAAAACATCGAAAAACGATTTTCCGGAAAAGACATTTCTAGAGATAATTCGATGCGGGGACTTCGAATCTCAGGTCTGTTGAGTCACCAAGGTTAAGGATACGTGGGTGAAGAGAGGGCGGAGTGTAAAGGTCAGAAAAACATCGAAAACTGATTTTTCACGGTTTCCATTTGTTTTTCCGGTAAATGTGCAGAAAATGCATTTTTACGAGAAAGAGCTAAGCGAGTCCTCGGAGGAGCGTTACTTGTTTTTATAAATACTGAAAATTTAAGAATAATACTAAGTTAAATAAATAAAAAATCCAATAAATTTTATTCAATTTATCAAATATATATTCAATATATAGCTAAAAAGATTAATTTAATAACAAATATTTTTAGGATAAAGTAACTTTGGTCGAATATATTTTCTATGAACAAAGTTTTGTTTTTTTATGTTGAACATTTTTCATTATATTCTTTTTTTTGTTTGTTTAAAAAATAATATTTAAATTAAAAGATTGATTCTTTTTAATCGAGTTATACTCGATGTTCCTCTTCTTTTTTTTATTGAACTTTGTTTTTATCAAATACAAAAAAAACACGACGACGACGACGAAAAAATTTTCCATGATATGTACCAACCATATCATTGAGTGTGTCGAGGTGTTGGTGTGTTCAGGTTATTTGTTTTTATTACCATCATCATGTAGAGCCACGAGCTGTTCAAGTTCCTGAGCTGAGACGAGTTCGGGATGGTTGACGATGGTGTTACGGATGACGTCCATTGCCTGTTGTAGTTGTTGTTCTGGTGTCAATGGTGGTCCGACTCGTAACGGGCGCTTAAAAAATATATAAATAATAGTGAAAAATGGGAATAAATAAAGATTCCGTGGAATATTGAGGATAGATGTCCACTTGTGCCGATCCTCCTTGTGCAGTTGTATTTTGCTCTCTTTCTTGTGCTGTTGTATGTTCTTCTTCGCCTTGTGCTGTTTTATCTTCCACCGACATTGTAAATTTTCTGTATTCTTACAAATTTAAAAAAATTAAAAAAAATAAATACTGATGATGAATATGCTTAAATTAAATCAAGTATCTTCAGTTGAATTTTTAATCGAATGAAAACATCAGATCTAACACTTGTAAACGATAAAAAGAAAAGGATTATTCGACATCCATGATTTATATGATTCAAGTAATGGAGAAAAGACTGATGAGTTGATCGCAAATAAAATCTTTGTACTCTCATTCTAATTTTCGAAAGATTTTTTTTGAAAATGTCTCAGATAAAGGATCCATATAAATAATAATCATAAATATTATGAGGAATGTCGCTCATATCAATGTCCATATATAAGTCCAATAAGATCTTTATATGTATAAATGAAATGAATCATTCATTTCTTCTTCTTGTTATGCTCATTCTAATTTATTTTATTTTCTTCAATATCTTCTTTCTAAGATCAATAGAAATCATATTGAATTAAAGATCAAGATTTTCTACTATGTCACTATGATTTTAATATTGTTCATCATATGTTAATATTATAAAAGTAGATTATAAAAAAAATAAGAATTCTGTTTTATAAAATAATTAATATATTTCTATTAGGAAGATAGAGTTTGTATATGTGAATCACCCCACCACCCACACCCTTGAGGTGCAACATTTTTGAGTATTTAAACGTACTTTGACATCGTCAGTTATCAAATATATATAAACGTGTTTAAGGCATCATATTAACTATTGCTATTATATGATGTATTCATTTCAATCTGATAAAACTTTAGCTTGTTGAAACTTCACCTTCACGTCTTTGCACACCCAAACCCTATCACTTTCATCAAGTCTGAGTACACAAGATATTTTATTAAAACACAATTCGAATCAATAGATCATGTTAATACAAATCATTAGATAACAAACAATGATCAATAGGTTCCAAACGATGTCTTTACGACTAGCCATACTAGATACAATTGTACTAATACTAGTCGTCTGTATAGTGGTATTATTAGAGTCTGAAGTTAGTCGCCAGATATCCATCAGTGAAAACGCTGTAACGTCCTGACGACCTAAATTACCTAAACCCCAATTCTCTTCTAACAATTTTGGAAGCGAATAAAGATTGAATTTTCCTGGTATCGTAACCGCAGAATACAAATAATCTGTTCCCCACATAAGCGCCGGTATGTGATTGGTTTGACCGGGATTACTTTCATCTTCATCAAAAGTTACAATTAATAATGTTCCACGCATAAAAGTAGGATCGTTTAAATGAATATTTAGCCAGTTTTTTAAATAATTGCCTGCATAAATGAGATCAGTATCATGGGCATCATTCTTTATGTTAGGTGTATAGAACGAGAATTGCGGTAACTCTTGATTTGCTAAATCAATTGCTAACTGATCTGCATTTACTATTTTTTGACATTCAGTTGTATTGTTTCTTACTGCAGCACTGAACATAAATGGATTATGCCTTCGAACATATAAACCGTTGGAAAGTTCCATCGCATCGTTACAATTGGGACTTGTCATTGTGGGAAGTGGTTTATAATTTTCTTGATAAGATTTCCAACTGACTCCAGCTCTATTTAATAAATCAATGATTGTTGTTTCATTTGTAGAGCAATAATTATTATCCTTGCAGTTTAACGTAGATCCTGCGATCATAGAAACATAATTCGGCTGAGATGGATGAGTGATCGCATACATGCCTGTCAACCAAGCAGAACTCTGAATAATAGATTGCCAAGCAGGAGAACTTAATGTTTGATCGTGACCACGGTTTTCCATGATTAAAACGAATATATGATCAAATAATAATGGATTTTGAGCAGAAGCAGGGCCAGATCTCACAGTTTTCTTTATAATTAAACTGTTGTCGTTGATCGCTGCTATTTGATTCGTCTTCAAACAAACAATACTACATAATATACTGTATGCAATCCACAACATGTTTGCAAAAGATTATCTTAAAAATATGAGCAAAAATTTATCAGTGTATTAATAGCCATGTCAGTGATTGCGAAGTAGAACGAAGGAAATACTGTTACAACACACACACGGTGATGCATATGAAACATGTCTGTTCTTGTGTGCTTAAAGAGAAAATAGTACGAACGAGCGAATGATTCATTGCGCAAAACAAGAATACTTTAACTCATCATCAAATCTAAAAACTGTTCAATTAATTAGACAGGCGCTAAGAAATAAGATGAATGACATTCTAGAAATGCTCAGTTACAGGATATAATTAGCTATTGCCGACAATGATATATTGTCGCTTGAGTTGGTCTATATAATAAAATCCGCCCATAAGTGTTATTCAATATTGATGCATGCCACGCGCCTTCTGAGTTGCAAATACTCGCCTACAGTAGAACAAAACGCATACAATCATTTGTGACTCATGTTAATCAAATTTACTTTAAATCAAACTATTGACATGCAATATTTGTCAATTTCAAATAAGACAACTATGCTCACGTAAATATTCTTTGTGTTGAAATGTCAAGAACGAACACATCCAAAACGCAATTGAAGTGATATATTTCTTGTGTTTATACACGTGATTTGTTTTAGACACGTGTGTGTAATAAAATTTCGTTCAAAACAAAATTACTTTGAATTCTAAGCTTATTAACTAAATTTCTCAATACCGGTGTGCATGAGGGTCAAACAAAAAACATTCGTCCACTTGTTATTTAAAAAACTGATTTCTGTAGTCATCGATTGCTCTCATTTAAAGAAAATTTAGTCTATCCGATAGGCATTTCTTTTGAACAATATTTCAAATACAATTATTAATCAATCACTATTACAAAATTGAAACTCTTTTTCTCTCATTTATTTCAATAAAAATCTATACAATTTTACAAAAAAAAAGAGAAAAAAATTATTTTTACACTAAATCTTTGTTTTTCAAATAACATTGTTATTCTTGTGTAGCAACACCATTGATTGTGGATTTTCAGCTACAACTGATATTTGTTATATTTCATCGTTATTTATATGTACACGATTTCGATTGAGATACAAATGTTGTCGAAGGAACTTATAAAGTTCCTTGCGAAAAATACTACTAGACCATGTAAACAAATAAAAGCTACTTGAATGAGCAAAAAATGTCATTCCAGTAAAAATTTTACTAGATAAATTTTCTTCAGCAAGTCGAAGTGTATCTTTTGCTGTTTGCACAGTTAATGTTATATAGAGTTGATTAATTGATTGTGGTAGAGTAGTTATAATTATTACAAATACTTGAGCAGTCAACATACGTAAAAGTTGAGTATTTGTACGTCGAGCAATTCGATTATCTTCAGGTATTCTTGAAATTATATGACGACGTTGGCGAATATTGTTCAATGTAAGACAACCGAAAAGAATCATTAAAAATGACGGACAAAGTGAATATAAAATCATATATAAGATTGAAAGGAATGTACGATGAATATCATTTTCCGATTCGCAACTAGGTACAACATTACCCGATTGATTGATTGCGTATTTTATATTCATATAAACGATCATGTGACCGTAGAGAATGGGAATAATAATAATTATGCTTCCAACTGTTATTTTTGCTGTTTTTAAAGAACTTATTCGTCGAATATTAGGATTTTCTGAACCATGTAGAAATCTATCAGCACAAGCTAAGCCAATTAGCCAACAAGATATTGTACGTATTGAATAGAAAGCAAAAAATTCTACTTTACAAATTCCAATATTGTAATAAGCTAGGTCTATATAGAAACTATTTGAAAGAATACGTAAAGGTATCACCAATAATATAACAACTAGATTAAAACCATCATTACATGTACAGCGTAATTTAGTTTGAGTATCAAGGTACAGAATA